GAAACCTAGGAGTTCACAGCTCCTAAGTATGGGTGCAAGCTTTGCCCATGCCCTTTACTCCCAGTGACTTTTGCCCATCTCTTCCACCTCCAGAGGCCAGAAACTGCAACACCAGCCAATGGGGTCCCAATTTGAACAAGTACAGGGATCAGGCTCACATGGTGACATGAACCTGCAGATCAATTTAGACAGAGCAATAATAAACTGGGAGCCTCTTTGCCTGGCATGCACTTCACCTGGGTAATGTGGATGTGCACTGTTGTTTCAATTATTAAAAAACCAAACAATAAAAGAGGGAAAGAAAGAACAACTGAAACACTTCATATTTCTCATTTATAATGAGAAGGCAGACAAGCTTTAAAAAGTAAATTTATCATGCTTGGACATAGAGGAGAAAAAGAATCAAAACCTGGCAGTATTTTTTTGCTGTAGAACATAAATGTTATTGTGCAGGGGGAATATCAGATGATGAGAAAGCACATAAGTAGAGCTTGGTGTTGGTTCAAGAATAGGTATAGGGGTCCCAGAGCTGTTGTGGATTTCACTGATCTATGCTCTTTTTAGGAAGCAGGGGTGCTTTGATTATAGAATTATTGGTTATTTAAATAAAAGGATACTTAATATTGTTTGTGCTAGAGAGCTCACAGCTTTTCACATTTGAGAAGCTCCTTGACACCATTCAGGGAAGCACTAAGGGTGGTTTTCATCTGAATGAATATGATTACCTTCCATCTCATTATGGTAGTGTGCTCTCCAAATGCTTTTTTGCTAGTTTGTGCATGACATCTTACTTTGACTTGGGGGTGGGGAAGGAGAGCTGAGCAGCAGGGAGGAAGAATGTTTTTTACACAGCAGAGCTTTCAGTCCCCGATTGAAACATTTGGAAAAAATCTGCAGAGGGAATAGCACAGAAGGAGTTCCTTTCCACTTCTCAGTTCCCTCAACAACTCATTTTCGTCACACTCCCATGTGTTTTTTCCATGAGACAGAACAATTGCCAGCCATTGTGTGTAAGGTACTGTGGGATCAGTTATGGCATGTAGGGGTATTAATGGGCATTAAAATACCTGAAATTTGCTGAATGCTCTCATATTTGATGTCTGTCCTTATCTACATGAACAGTTGGTTTATGCAATTTTCAGGATGTAATGTCCCAGTAGCTACAGCACATTATATCTTGGATTACAAAACATTTCTTTACTGTTTCCTTGCTATCCACCTTCACATCACTTGCAGATTATTTTATGTAGTTGTTACCCAATAATGTAAGCATGTACTATAGCCTTCATCTGACCAAGAGAAATGATACTTATCTGCAGTACTGCAACCCACAAAAGAATAACATTTAGTGGGAGTTATCACTGTGATCCAATATTTAAAAAGACTCCAAATCCTGGATCAAAACCCTTAGAGAAGGACTGGACACATTTTTTCAACCTCTGCCTGCTCTTGGTTATTTACAGGTGAGAGAAAAGGTGAGATGAAAAGGTTTTGGAAGGACAAAAATTGGAAGGAACATGCCAAGCCACCATCTACTGGCAGAGGTAGATGAGCTGAAGTAAAAACATCATAGTAGTGACGTTCAAAGAATCTTGACCTGCTAATGGGATGCCATCTCCTTCTTCATAGGACTCCTAAGAGTAGGAAGATTGCTGCATTTGGTAAAAAAAATCCTCAAACTCCATCTGCTCCAGCAGCACCCTACTCTGTAAACAAACTGTCAATAGTCAACTACCCAAGGAAGAGTAACAATAAGGCCAAAGGGTGAGGCAAAAGTAGCCTCCCAACATACAGTTACTTTCAATGCAGTGATCTGGGATAAATGTTATTTCAGTAGCTTATCTAGCAACTTGTCATTCCACGGATCTGTCAAGCCCCACTGAATCCTTGTAAACATTTCACATCCTTCAGCAAGGATTTCCACAGGTCTCAGTCTGGTTCCTATTAGATGCCTTTTATGTCTCCTGCTTCTTGTAACTCGAAGAAACAGTGAACAACTGATGTCTATCCAATAGGTCCATGTTACTCAAAGTTTGTAGGCATCTGTTAGGCCCTAAATTGTTTCTATTGGGGACCAAAGAGTCCTAGCTTACTTGGTTATTTCAGGCACTTAAACTGTTCCCATACATTTGGTTATCCTTGTTTCCTCTACTTGAACTTCTGGTAATGGCCTCCTGAAAAATCCTCTTGAATATACCACATATACTCTGTCCAGACCTTGATATGTGTGTGTCTCCCTCTTGCCTACCTCCCTTGGAACCTTTGGACAGAGCATGCAAATGCGAGAAGGAAAAATGTGTGTATGTGAGTATAGTTTTCAGTTTGCTGTTGGGTAGCTGATTAGCAGTGTCTTTTAGACAGCTCCTCTTGAGTTCCTTCAGGCACAAGAGCACAGAAGTAGGTTGAACTGCATGCTGTGTGAGGCAGAAGAAGGCAAATACAACTGCCCCCAGTCTTTGCAAGACCTCGGTGGGCATGAGAGCTGCTTCGTCTTTGCTGAGGCTTCCCAACTATTTGCTGACTTCCCAAAGGTATCTGGAACACATTTCCTTAAAGATATGTCCATATGGCATACCTGGCCTGCTCTGAACACCGTCTGGAGACACATGTGCAATATCAATTAATTAAGGTCTGAGTACTCAGCTAAAGAGCTACAATTGCACTGTGCCTCATAGTGATGGCCTGAGTTTATGAGAAAAGTTTTCCATTGCCTTTCTTTTTTTTCTTTTTTTTCTCTCATCCTTTTGCCTTAATTATATTTATGCCTTTCCCCTATATGGTGCAGCTTCTGACATGATAGAAATGACTAGAATTCACAGCTATTTCTTAGCACACAATGAAGTCAGTTTGTTGGGACACCCTTTTTAATGGTGAACATTACAAAACTATTCACCTCCCAACTGGCTTTCTCAAAAAAAAAAACCCTACCAACATTTTTTTCCTTTAAGTGACGGCCAGGTTCAGTGGTAACGGCAATACTTGCTCAACTGTTTCTAATCAGTGGCACACACAGAAGAAATTAAAAGACCCCGCTCAGGACACTGGGCTGATGACAGATGGACAAGATACATTCATAATTCTGAAGAAACCTTCATCCCATTTCAAACTAATTTTCCATCATCTTTTATTGACATGAATAATGCCAGGATAGTAGAAATGGAAAATATTAGTAGAGTGAGAAAAATATTAGGCTGTTTTTCCAGTTTGTGTTACACATGTAGTACACATTCTGGTTTCTGTTTCAAATATTGCCCACATTTTCAGCAAGGCTTGTAAATGTATTTTGGCCCCCTACTACAATTGCCTATTGGCCAAGAGATTTTATAATAAACTCTAGCCTTTTTTTTTGAGTGGTGATTTTTGTTGTGCTTGCCCAAATTCTGGAAGCTGATGAGAAACCTCATTTTTTTAAACTAGTGTCTATGTGGAAGCTTTAAAACAGGAATCAACAAGGGAGAGTTTGGGTGGGTCTTTCACATGTCACCTCAGGAACATGAAATGTTTAAACAAGAAAATAATTTTTAAAACTTTAAACAAAATTAGTGAGTCACACAGACAAGCACAGGTACAATATCTGAATCTTCATGCATCTTTTTCTATTTGAACCAACTTGCTTATCACTGGCCATCTCACCTAAACCTAAAAGATATTAAAATGTGGTTTTTGATATCTCATACATCAATTAGTAGATAACTCATGTAATTAATATTCAGAAAAAGTTAAGTACCAGCACTGAGAATGTGTTATTGATCTCAATGCCACCTGGAAATGAATTGAATGCAACCTTGAATTTAAAAAAAATGTGTACGAGACCAGCCCAGTGCTATGGGCTCCACACAGACAGAGCAGTGCTGCTACAGAAAAAGTTACAGCAGCACCCTGACTTTAAAGAACAGTTTAGTTTTCTGTCCTACTCCTTTCCAGCACTGTCAGGAGGGCTCCTGACTGCTGTGGCCTGTTAGATTTCGCAGTGCAGGCAGATACCAGAACCTGAGGAACTGAACAGAGATGGAGAAACAGCTGTCAATTGTTTAACTACTTTCTATCACTAATAGTGACCCAGGGGTGAATGGCTTCATATCACATTACCAAATCCTTGAAGCTTAGGGCAGGGTGGGTTTTTTTTAAACTTCATTTTAGTAGGGGAATTTCTACGCCTGGCTTGGCTACTTTATAAATTAAGAAGAATAATACATCATCCTACTACCAAAAAGAAGTATGCTTATTCTGAGGAATTTGCTGGTCAGTTGGAAAGAATTTTATGCTGTATGTGAACAGACGCCACTGGCTTTTAATGCTCCTATATTTGACTGCATTTTCATTTGCATCATAAACTTTTTACATTAAATACTTTCTAAAAACAGAGTCTTTAAACCGGGTAAAGAACATACACTTTGGAGGCGCAGCCTACCAATGATACCACAAGTCGCCTTTTACTACTACTTAGTTCAAACTTTCTCTTTCTAACACAAAATTGAACTTCAAATCAAAACAAAAAAAGGAAAAAGCCTAGTTTAAATTAAAGTCTTAGTCTTCACTTGCTTACAGTAAAGTTAATCGAGTTCCCTTATTGCTTGAGCTTTTTATGCATTCAGTAATACGCCTGCACATTGTTCAACTTTTTAAAAAACAATTTTAAGTTTCAGTAAAATTGTCCCCTAAAGGAAAATATAAACCTTCATTCACTTCAGAGCACAGTGAAGCCTCTAAAACTTTTTCCACTTCCCCTCCCCTCGTATAAGCGCAATTTCTTTTTCCACGAGGACACTAAAACTTTTTTCTTTTCCCCCTAGTGTAGCATCCTTCGTATTGCCAGCAGAGACTCTCAGGATCTCTAGCAAGAACTACACGCTACAAGTGCCAGCAAAGCACACGACCAGGTCGGCAGCGGGAAGGGACGCCCGAACGCGCGGACACACCGACCGCTTCTCGCCGGCGGAGCGGAGGGTGCGCGGTCGCGGTGATGCCCCGCGGGAGGAGCGGGCGGCGGGCGGACTTACCCGGCGTAGCGGCCGCGGTGGCCGCGGAGCGGCAGCGCAGCCTGGAGGCAGAGCAGACAAAGGGGCAGGAGCCCGCGGAGCGGCATCGTGCGGGGCCGCGCCGGCACCGCCACCGCGGGCACAGGCACAGCCACCGCCGGCACAGCCACCGCCGGCACGGCCACCGCCGCCGCGCCCGCCCCAGGTGGCGGCTGCTGCCGTGCACACAAAGCCCGGGCGGGGGCCGGGAGGAGCGGAGCGCTCAGAGGTGTTGCTGGTCGCCGGCGGCGAGGGGGAAAAGTCGTGGGAGGACGGGCGTCGCCTGCAGCCCCGCCGCGCCTGGGCACGGGGACGGGACGGGGACGGGACTGGGCGGGGAGGCGCCCGGCTGGGAGGGCTGGGGATGCGGGGGGTGCGCGGCCCCGCCGCCGCCCTGCCCCGCGGGGAGCCCGGGGGCTGGCAGGGGCCGGGCGGCGGCGAGCAGCCCCCCGCGGGCACGGCGGCTCCTTCGGGGCTGGAGGGACGAGGGGCGCGGCGGGGAGGGCTTCGACTGCAGGTGCTGCGGCGAAGCAGCCGGCCAAGGGTCGCTTAACGCGCGGTCAGTGGCATCGGGGGATTATCGGCGAGATTTCCCTGGCTGGGCAAAATAGCTGAGGCTGATGAGAAGGCAGAAATACACTTCCATAAAACAAAAAGCGGTGGAGAGTCCATTAGGAGAAGAAACCAGGAGAAAGTGGGATTTCATGTTATCAATGTGGCCAAAAATCTTGGATATGAGTAGTGGGAAGGGAAGAGAGGCTGATACAATAGGATAAAATAAAACCACAACATCTTTTCAAAACTGGGGGTTTACATCTTCTTTTCCACGCTGGTGAGGGTCAAAGATCCACATAAAGATAAGTCAATGGAGCACTGGGGATAGCAAGAAGAATGGGAAGAATTTTGCTGCAAATAATTGTAGTTTATAGCAAATATGTGGAGGACTTGTTAAAGAAAATGTAGGTAAAATATTATGCCAATATGGAATAAATTGATAGCCCCTTTGATACTTTTATATTGAATTTACTAAAAAGAACGAAAAAGTGTTTCAAGCTCAACTGATTCTCAGCCTCTCTGAAAGCAAAATGAATGAGTGGGCTGTAGACAAATAAAACTAGCTGACATTTGAACATGTGTGAGAACTACTGTAAATCCCTGTTAATGTTTCAGAGACACAGGGAGCCTTTTGAAAAAGGACTGTATTAAACCACACACACTTCATATTCTCTGGCTGAAAGGCAAACAAGCATTTTCCTTTGTCTCTTTTTCATACTGGCACCAAATCTGACACTAGTTGTGTCATAGAGTCTGGAGGTGGAAAAGACTTTGTCCAGGGCAGGATTATTCCCTTCTGTTTGGTTACTGGTATTCTCTCCCTTGAGCTTCCCGTCCCCCATTACATAGCCTGCTTAAAATCTCAAGTTAATTTCTGGTGAGGATATGCAGAGGGGAATTTGTGTGTGCTTATATGCTGTACATCTCTTGTTGAAAACACTTTGCATTTACTACAGACAACCCCCAAAACCTTTTCTATGAGTCTTCAGTCTTGTAATAAATGTAACTTCAGCTTTACAAACACCTATTTAATAGAAGTTCTCCTCTATGTTCAGAAGCCACTTCAAAGGGAAAGTTAGCTATCAGGAAGTCAAGTAACTGACTTGTGAAGGGCATGAGTATGATATTGAAGCAAACCACACTGCTTTATTTCACACATTTACTTTACTTACTATGTATTCTTGCTACACCTGAAGTGTATCAGATAATACACCAATTTATTTAAATGTTTGAAAAATGTGAGTTTCTCTATTATCCTAAGATATTTGCTTTTGAGATAAAAACCTGGCTCTATTGGAGTTAGTAAGAGTTTTATTTTTGGCTTCTGTCTGCAAAATAGTTTGGCCATTATTAGAAAAATTTTGCTTTCAAGAGGAAAACTTGGCTCCATTTAAATTAGGGAGAATGTAATTATGGGCTTCTGTGGCTGTAGTTTTCAGTCTTAAATCCTGCCTTTCTGCAACATTCCCTGCAAGTAAAAGGCAAGAAAATATAAGAAAGAAAGGGAATTCAAGACCAAAACCAAATAATCAAGGAAAGCAACACAATAGGGAATAAATACACAAAAAAAAGGTATTGATACCTTTCTTAATATGTATTACTTCTGCCAGTTTAAAATACATTTTAATAATAATTTAAAAGTACACTTATAGAGCTGTGGAGAGGTTGGAGAGGGAAAAGCTCAAAAGTACCAAAACCGACTTTAACAGGGGTGGGGATAATGAGGGTTATACAGATCCATCGGTCTCTCTTTGATCCATCAGTTTAAATTGTACTAGGTGACAGGGCAGACTGGAGGGAAGGCTGGAACTCTGTCATGCTGGCAGCTAGGAAAGGATTAAAAGACTGTAGTCAAGCCTGGGAGTTACAGATGTGGTAAGTCTACTTTCCTGACAATATGGGGCTATAAAACTTGCACCTAACTAAGCAAAGGATTTGAGACAAAGAAAACCAGAGCTTCTTTTCCTTAATTTCTTGGAAGTGAAAGGAGGAGTTGCCAGCACCAAGAGTTCTGATGTGCAGCTTGGAGGTGATGAGGGGCTATGATGGAACAGGAGAGAGCAAATTGAGATATAGAATAGGATCATAGAATATCCTGAGTTGGAAGGGACCCAAAAGGATCATTAAGTCCAACTCCTGGCCCTGCACAGTATACCTCAACAATCCCAACATGTGCCTGAAAGCCTTGTCCAAACACTCCTTGAGCTCTATCATGCTTGGGGCTGTGACCACTGCCCTGGAGGACCTGTTACAGTGCCTGACCATCCTCTGAGAGAAGGACCTTTTCCTAATATCCGACCTAAACCTCCCCTGACACAGCTTCATGTTGTTCCCTCGGGTCACTGGTCACCAGACAGTAGAGATCAGATCCTGTCCCTTCTGTAGCTGTAGCAGCTTGATTTGCACTCTCTGCTCTTCCACTGCAATTCTGCTTCTGGCAGGAAGGGCAGCCTTGTCCCTCCTGCGCCCTTCCTCGGCTCTTGGCTTCAGTTTTTCTTTCTGTGTTGGTAGGACCTCCACCACTGTCTGTGGGGCAGCAAATCTGTTCCCACTTCTGGGAAGTGGTGATTTGGTTCTGATGTCAGCTGGAAAACTCTGCTGTGGACCAAAGCAATTAAACATCAGTAAATTTGCTGTTGCCAATCCCTGCCACAACCACTAGCAAAATGGTTAATATAAGCAAGATTTGGCCTTAAATTTTCACCTTGGAAGTGCAGGGTGGGGATACTGCCTTTGTCTGGCTTGTGCTGGTTTCAGCAGTGCTCCTGCAAGAGCAGAGTAACTGTCCAGGATGTGCTGAGCCAGGGAAGCTCCAGGATGAAACAGCAAAATGCTGCCTATGGTTTCCCTCTTCAAAATGGGGGATGTACCACTTTACAAGGAACACAGGCAGTTGCCGAAACAAAGGCAATTCTACCTGGCACGGAAACAAGAAAGGCTTCATGTAAAGTGAGTGAGCAGGCAGCCTACATTTGGTACCTGGACTTGAGAATATGCCATTTATTGAGAAAAGCAGAAAAAGGGCAATAGCTTCTTATAAACATGTTTTATACTCTGAGCTGTCCCAAATCTCACCTTCATAAGAAGGTTGCATTGGCTCAAATAAAAATCCTTTCTGTACATTTGTTAGATTTATAATGGTTCAGAAACAGGAATTTAAACAACACTGTTCTAGTTTAAATCATACCCATTAATAATAAATTAGACTAAGTGTGTTCATGCTGGGATTTGCACTGCTATAACTCATTAAAAAAGATTGAAGTTGATTGAGTGCAATGTCCTTTTCAAGATCTGGTCTCCATTTCTTTTAACTCACATAGAGACCTTGACAGATGAAGGACAGTGAAAATGGCCCTGCTGATTCTGTGCTAAATTAGGTTTGGGGTCTAAAATAACATGAAAGCGATATAATTCACGCATGAGTGCCATGGCCAGTTAGCTGTAACTAACCACCCTGTGTAGTTGGGAATGTTACTGTAGCAACAAAGAGCTGATAAACTAAGGACTTCCCACTCCTAGGGGTTGGTTTTACTGGGTTTCACGCTATCAGTGACAGGCTGCTGTTGGTACCTGAGCTAGTCTAAACTTGAGGTGCCAGGCTGCCGCAGAGGCAGGACACTTAGGGTGTCTGTGATACTCTGTGTAGGTTTACTATCTTTTCTATGTGTCCTTCCACATCCCCACTCCCATCTCCTATAAGTTCCTTCAACCTCCTGCTCTGCCTGCTATCTGTGGTCCTTCTTCCTTGGTCTTCTAACAACCGGTACTTTGGAAGGTGCCACGAGCACCCTGCCCTCACTGTGGCCTAAGACGTGGCAGAACTGGAAAGAATAAATGGTCATCTAGTTTTGTTACAATGAACCAGTGCTGAACATCACCATGAAGGGTATTCAGATGTAATTAGCTTACTAAAATGAATTATAAGTGTCTTTAGAAAGGATGAGTTTTGCAATTAAGAATCTTGACATTCTGTCTTCAACTTACTTGGGGATCCTGCATTACTCTTATCAAGTCATTTTATTTGGATTTTGTCAATGGCACTGAACTGTTATAAAATGGTTCAATTAAGGAAAAGAATGGAACTATTGCACCTAAAGAATTCCTATCTACTACTATTATTCTATTATTCTGCGGGACAGGAATACAGCTTAAATATTCTTTTATGTTTCATAGAATCAAGAGACATTTAAATATGGATATGTTTTAGAAGCAGCTAAAGGAAAATAGATGTGTAACTGACAAATCATCAATAGATCAAGCCCCCATAGGAGCCTTTAGAAATCATACTGATAAATCACATCAGACAAGAGTATTACAAACCTGATGAATTCTTCCTTAGCATGGTTTTAATCTTGGAAAGACTACTATATGTGTTCATAGCTTTCTTTATATGTATGGAATTCCTTCTTAAAACTGTGCATGGGAGAAAAAATATCTTTGAAGGATCTGCATCAGGCAACACTGTGAAGAAAAGCTTGTTCTATCTTGAGATTCAGCCTTAAGATAAATCTGA